GCATGCTCAGTTAGGAAAGGCATGATCTTCCTGATGTTGTGCATAGCAAACCTGCATGATTGAGCTGTCTTTGTGATGTGGTCTGTGAAGGTCAGCTGATCATCAAAGATTACTCCAAGATTTCTGACTGACCTTGATGGGGTGATTGAGGAAGAATCTAGCTGGATAGTGAAGTCGTGCTGTAGAGACAGATTGGCAGGGAGGATGAGAAGCTCAGTCTTTGCCAGGTTGAGCTGCAGGTGATGTTCCTTCATCCATGCCGAGATGTCCGCCAGACAGCTTGAGATCCGTACAGCTACTGTGGGATCATCTGGTTGAAATGAGAGGTAGAGCTGGGTGTCATCAGCATAGCAATGGTAAGAGAAACCATGTGCCTGTATGATGGGTCCCAGTGATGTGGTGTAAATGGAGAAGAGGAGCGGTCCAAGAACTGAACCCTGGGGAACCCCTGTGGTCAGTTGATGTGCTTTGGATACCTCACCTCTCCATGTGACCCTGAAGGACCTGGAAATATGCCAATATTTGGAAATATGAAGATTTTACGGTGTGAACATCAGCAGAAAAGGCAGAGAGCAGAGATTGATACCTACTGAGGTCAGATGTGTCTTTTGATTTGCGCCATTTCCTCTCTGCTGCCCTGAGTTTGGTCCGGTGTTCACGAAGAACCTCAGATAACCAGGGGTTGGAGGGAGTAGCGCGTGGTGGCCTGGAGGAGAGAGGGCAGATGTTGTCTAAAGAAGAGGTTAGAATGGAGCATAAAGTATCCGTTGCAGTATTCACATCCAGAGATGAGAAATGCGAGGGTGAGGGAAGAGATGATGACACAGCAGAGGAAAGATGGGACGGAGAAATTGAGCGCAGGTTTCGTCTGAAAGTAACTGGTAGGGGAGTTGGTGGTGCACGGGTAGTGAGTTGTAGATTGAAAGTAATGAGGAAATGGTCTGAAACGTTGAGAGGTTTCACCAAAATATTGTCTGTGATGCAGTTGCGTGTGTAAACCAGGTCCAGTTGGTTGGCTGACTTGTGAGTACCTGTGGTGATAAGCCGTTGGAGATCGAAAGAGGCTAGGAGAGAGATGAAGTCTGTTGCATACGGCTTCTCTAGATTAATGTTGAAGTCGCCAAAGACTACAAGTGGGATGCCATCCTCAGAGAAAGAGGAAAGCAGTACATCCAGCTCCTCTACAAAGCTTCCCAGTTGACCTGGGGGGCGATATATGCCTAAAATATGGATCTTAATGGGAGTTGTAAGTGTAATAGCATGGTATTCAAATGAGTAGTTATTGCATAGAGAAGAGAGAGTTGAGTATTTCCAATTGTTAGAAATGAGAAGACCAGTACCCCCACCCCTTCCCGACTGGCGAGGGGTGTGAGAGAGAGAAGTTGTTAGAGAGAGCAGCAGGGGTTGCTGAGTCTTCTGGATGGATCCAGGTCTCAGTCAAGCCCAAGATATTAAGAGTAGAATGAGATGCAAAGGCTGGAATGAAGTCAGCTTTATTGACTGCTGATTGACAATTCCATAGACCCATAGAAAGAGTGAGAGGTGAGTGTGAGGATGAGGGAATAGGGCGCAGATTAGCAGTATTGCGCTGCCTTTTGTGCATGATGAGAGAGCGTTGTCGAGAGACAACAGGAATGTATTGAAAGCACATGTTGATTAAGGGAAATAAGAAAAAGGTGGATTATTAAAAGGTGGATTACAAATAGGAAAAAGAGGCTACAATTTGCAAGAGCTCACCAAAATTGGACAGTTGAAGACTGGAAAAATGTTGCCTGGTCTGATGAGTCTCGATTTCTGTTGAGACATTCAGATGGTAGAGTCAGAATTTGGCGTAAACAGAATGAGAACATGGATCCATCATGCCTTGTTACCACTGTGCAGGCTGGTGGTGGTGGTGTAATGGTGTGGGGGATGTTTTCTTGGCACACTTTAGGCCCCTTAGTGCCAGTTGGGCATCGTTTAAATGCCACGGCCTACCTGAGTATTGTTTTTGACCATGTCCATCCCTCAGGGCTCTAGAGTGCGACCAAAATTTGTAAGGGTGCGACGAGAATTTTTCCTAGGTCGCACCAGTGCACCTAACGTTCTCCCATGATCGCATTCGCTGCCTCTCCACAAACAAGTCTTTTGTTCTCCTTGCACGCATGGTTGGATCATATCTTGGTCTAAACCAATCAGAGATAGAGATTGGGCGGGTCTTTGCCTCTGATTGGCTGTGGTTCAGATATTCCTGTAGGACTAAAATGCTCCGTGCTGTGTGATTGAAATAAATTGCGATCTGTCACCTGAGGACCAGAGAATCAGTAACGGCAATCAGCAGCATCAGCTAAATAAACGCAAGAAAACAGGCGACGAAGAAACTTTTAAAAATGTAGGCTACTTGAACTAGGGAAAAAATATTGATTTCTCGATTTTAATCGATTCTCATTGATTTTTACGAACCGTTGGGCTATGCTGTTTTCAGTTGATGAATGAATGGAACATTGTAGCGAGCATCCCATCCAATAAATCGCAATAATCTTTGTGCTTTGTTACTATTGATATAAAACAAAGTCTCAGATTTCAAATTAGGTCAATTTTCTTACGAAATTCAAAAACATAAATAGTGTTTTGATGCTGTGGCGTGAGATCGCTCTAGCTCAGCTCAGCTCAAGAGAAGCAGCAGCGCGGAGCGCACATGATCTCCTCTTCCACCTTAACAATACCAGTTACAGCGCCAAATAAACATGAACGAGCATCTGAAAGTGTGTTAAAAGATAGAGTACAACTTATCGAAATCCGTATCATGTCACATGGAATCGCTCAATCAGTGTTTCAACCGTGGAAAGACGTCAGTAAAACGCTTGTAAACAATGTCATGTAACGTCACATTTACCTCAGAAAAAAACATATCCAGTTACCATAAACTCGTTAGCTAGCTAGAAAAATTAACTCTAGAGGAGCATTTTGCCTAATATATGCACCATATTACATATTCATTATAATTTTTAATGTTTTTCAATATTGAATGCATGTTGTTTGAAAAAAATCTGGCAAGTTTTTATGCAGCCACCATTTAAATGTTTATATTTCATATAACTTTATTATTATAAAAATAAATAAGTGTAATTTAAGTGTTTGTGTACAAATCAGGTAATTTTTACCTTCAATATTATAGTAGGCTAATGAAGCCTATAGGCTACAACTGACTCCCAGTTTACAGCATTAGTTGAGATTTGTTTTTCTTGAGAAAATTTGCCATGTATTGTACCTGATATCCAAAATAATCAATATTGAATCGAATTGTGAAATTTGTGTCAATTCCCTGCCCTAACTTGAACAATGTAAAAACAGCACTTTAATTTTTTTTTTTTTTAAAGATTTATATTTTTATATACAGTATAATTGTTCTTCAAAAAAAAAAAAAACTACACCTTATTCTTGTTTAAAAGCATTTACATAATATATATGAATGTATATGGAGCGTGATAAAAAGGTGACCTTGAAATTGTGGCGTTAAAGGCGACGCGAGACGAGGAAAAATTTGAGTGCACCTAAATTTTGTGCTGGTGCACCTAAATAAAAAAGTTAGGCGCACCAGTGCAACCAAGGCAAAAAGTTAGTCTGGAGCCCTGTCCCTTTATGGCCACCATGTACTCATCCTCTGATGGCTACTTCCAGCAGGATAATGCACCATGTCACAAAGCTCGAATCATTTCAAATTAGTTTCTTGAACATGACAATGAGTTCACTGTACTAAAATGGCCCCCACAGTCATCAGATCTCAACCCAGTGCCCTGGATGTGCATCCCACAAATCTCCATCAACTGCAAGATGCTATCCTATCAATATGGGCCAACATTTCTAAAGAATGCTTTCAGCACCTTGTTGAATCAATGCCACGTAGAATTGAGGAAGTTCTGAAGGCGAAAGGGGGTCAAACACAGTATTAGTATGGTGTTACTAATAATCCTTTAGGCGCCCTTTCAGGGCTTGCGCCCTAACAATCCTAAGAAGAACAATAGGGCTCTGCGCCTTTTCAAGGCTATGGCCCTAATAATCCTAAGGAAAACAATAGGGCCTTCGCCTTTTCAAGGCTTGGGCCCTAATATTCCTAAGGAAAACAATAGGGCCTTCGCCTTTTCAAGGCTTGGGCCCTAATAATAATCCTAAGGAAAACAATAGGGCCTTCGCCTTTTCAAGGCTTGGGCCCTACTAATAATAATAAACAGAGCAATTCCAAGAGGGTCCTCACACCATCGGTGCTCGGGCCCTAATTAATTAAAGAGGCGCCCGTATAGCCTATTTGTAGGCTGCACGCAGGTGGCTTGGAAGACGTGGGTAATATGGCTTATCCATTTTTCAACACGAACTGGAGGTAAGCAACAGTTTGTTAAATTGCAGTTAGTTTGATTGCTACAGAACTTCTAGCTCTCCCTTTTTGTGTTTATTTTTACTGCTTTAAAGATGAAATGGTTTAAATTTCTGTTTCCTCGCAGGCGCAGTGAGGGAAGAAAACACTGCGTTTAGGGCAATCAGCTCATAGCTCTGCTTCAACTGTGCCATACCCTCTCTAGGGCTGACCAAAATTCCTGACATGTCAGAAATTCATCCGACCATCCTAATGCCAGTTGGGAGAGGTTAATCGCTTCTCGTTTCCCTCTGTTCACTGCACGACAAACGACGCACGATGAAGCTGAAATTTGGCCCGATTAAAAAGAGTTTAAAAAAAAAAAGTTGTCCTATTTGGAAATCGGCTCAAAATCTGACGGAATTTGCACAGTGTATGCCCGGCTTAAGAGAAGCCACTGTGCGTCAACTTCTGACATTGGCATGACATATGGTTACCATAGCAACCGCCTAGCAACCGCCCAGAACAACATGGCAAACATCTTTTTCAAACTAACATCAAAGTTTGTTTACAATCTTTACTCTTCTAGTTTTTTAATTAATGTTACAAAAATATTTGTGGATTAGAATCTATTAAATTTGTAATTATATAAAATTGTGTGTTGTTTTAGGAGACCTTTTTGGAGAGCAAACAGGATGGTGTGGCTCGGAAATACATCCCACCTGCAAGGTATGATTACCCTAACACCTGTTTTTACACTTTCACATGTGTTCTGGAAAGAACTGCATGATTAACCTTTAAAATATTACGATCTTGATCAAAACAATATTGTTTCCCACAGGTATGACTCATACTTGTGGTGGTAGCCAGTTGAAAAAGCTGGCATTACTTGCTGGCACAACTTGCTGGCACAAAAATAGTCTACTTTTTTTGTGACATGGGGCAGGTTTACCATTTTGGGGTCTCTAAGCAAAGTCAGGACATGAAACCCCCCACCCCACCATTGCATTTTACTTTGAATTGAACAATAGTAATACCAAACAGAATTAAGTGGGGAAAAAAAGAATTCTGATTCCTTTCGATTCTCACTTTCTATTCCAATAAGATAAAAATAAATAAATAATTTAAACATTTAGATATCAAATATATTTATGCTGTGTCTTTTTTGCAAAACATTTCGTTACAGCTGAAGACCACAAGCCAAACTCAGCAGCCTCAAGAACACTTACACAAGGAACTTTGCCTATAGGTTTCAACAAATATATAAGCAAAAACATCTTACTAATATATATTTCAAACATCAATGAAGACAGTTAATAAGAAAAGTAAACATCAGTAGCAAAAAAATACAACTGAACAAAGTGCAAGAAATCAAATAACACGGCATATAGTTTTCTTTTTATAAATAAAATCCTTAATCCTTATTAAAGTTACACAAGTTATTCAGTCTAGATCACTGACTTTATGAGGATATTTTAACAATTTTGTGTGTATTTGTCTGTTCAAGCGCAAGAGAACTCAATTAAGTTCAGTATTCGCGCACTAAATGAGATGTCGAGTGCATCTTCTCAGTTGAAAGTCACATTTATTGTGCACACAGTAATGGATAAGCGTAATTAGAATTTTTTTAATTTTATATCAAGTATCTGATTCCTGAGTATGTGATTCCAGAATAGGATTTCGATTCCCAAGCTGCCGGTAAATGTACAGGTAGCGACGGTGCGGACACAACTTGTTCAGTGTGGGACCTGGCTGGGTTTTCCACCTCACTAGATGTTTCATCCAGCAGGGTACCCCGACCCTGAAAGTTTGGGCATTTTAGTCTTATCTTAGTCACAGAAAATCTTAAATATTTTGGTCTAGTTTTTATTAATGAATTTAGTCATATTGTAGTCACGTTAAGTCATATTAACATTTTACTCACTGAAAACTGTAGACATTTTAATCATATGTCATCTAGTCTAGCCAAAACATTATTTATATATATAGTCTTATTTCACATAAGAAGCTAAAGTAACATTTAGATTTATTTCCAGACTTTTTTTTTTTTTTTTTACACATTTACACTGACTGCATTTACACTGCAATTACAATTGCGTAAATAATGTTATGAGATTACTCCAAAGTAGTACTTAATCCTCTCCTCGTGGGTCAATTTGACCAGTCATAGGAATGAATGGGAAATTGGGGGACCCCTTCAAACTGAATGATTAAAGTAAAACAACATTTTTAGAACTGTAACAGCATTTTTATATTCTGAATATAAATTAGCATATTCAAATACATATTCTTCAATGTTTTATTTGTTAATATTTTTTCCTGTTGTCTACTTTGCTGGCTAGAATTATTGCAAATATATATATACAAACCTAAAATAAATGTTCAAAATTAAAAGGGCACAATTTTTCAAAAAATAAAATCTTTTTAATGTCTAAATATATACCTGAATGCATGAAGCAAACTGACTTCAAATTGGAGTTTTGCAAGTCATGAAATGTATGAAATCTGCTTTTCTCTTAAAGGGGTCATATAATGGTACATGCACTTTTTCAAGTTGATTGTACTGAAATGTGTGTTGGCAGTGCCTGTACACAACCATCATATAATGATAAAAATCCATCCAGTGTTTTTGTTTTAATCTCCTTATATGTTTTCCCCTGCCTCAAATCGAGCCGTTCAATCGGACGCCCCTCCCGCGATTGTTGATTGATAGCCGGGTTTCAACACAGAACCGCCCTCGCTCGTGAGCCAGCTGTCAATCATAGTCTGCGCGGACCGGCGCGGTCATTGTTGATATGCTGGAGCACTGTCTATGCGCAGAATGGCGTCTAAGCGATTGGTGTTCTGTTCTTGGGTGCAATAACGAACACAGCAGTCATTTTAATGTTCCCAAATCCGAACCGCTGAAGACGCAGTGGCTGAGTTTGTTTTCGAAGGGAATATTCCCCACGAGCAACGTCAATGCTCTCATGTTTGCGCGAATCATTTCTCAGCAGACTGCTTTATAAACGAGGGTCAGTATAAAGCTGGTTTTGCTAAGAAGCTACTCCTGAATAAAGGATCGGTACCAGCTATTCGTGTTCCTGCTGAACCTCTAGAACAACTGAAGTGAGTGTAACGTTTTATTAACCTTTATATTAATATTTATATCTTTGCAAATCGCTTCACGATGAATGAGTCTAAGGTTTACACTCAGGGTACATTACGGCATGTTTTCTATGTACGACGTTCTCAATATAATTCATAATCCCACGTTTATAATGAACAACGCGTTATGGTTATTGTGTTACAAACGTGTACGCACAGAACAGAGGGGCGGAGTGAGCACAGCTCATGATCATTTAAAGGTATATGCACTGAAACGGCTTGCTGAAAACAGAGCTGTTTTTGACCAGGTAAAATAACTGTTTTCTTACAATACTAATGAGAATTTTTAATTAAAGTATATTACAAACTTTTAATTTAGACCCTAAAGAATCATATTAGCTTGTACAAAAATGGCATTATATGACCCCTTTAATATTAACTGTTCTTTGCAAGTTTCTACTTGCCAGTAAAATGGTGGGGTTGAGCAACGTTTGTTCCACTGAGGCTTGTTAAGGGTGGGCTTTAGGGTAGTGCTGCGAGACTACTGGCCCTACAGTGGAAACACAGCTTGATTTTGGCCTCGCATATCGAGGTCCAAGGCAATTGGCCCCGCCTGGCCCATTGATAGCCCTGGCTTGCACTGGCCTGATAGTGAAAAAGCAGCTATTCATTCAACCAGTTCGTTCAAAGTGGCGGATAATTATTCAGGAATGAAGCAAGTGACTGACTAGGATCTTGAATTGATATTTAGCTTTTTCTCACCAGATTTGTTCAAGACACAGTTTCATTCAGAAACTCCAATAAGTGTTGCTCTTGGATGTGCAAGTTCTGCTGTGGCTTTGTTAGGAACTATTGCTGAATAATAGCAAAAACAGATGATACTGTGTCTAAAATTAAAGTCACTTAATATTAACTTGTTCATTCAGCTTTTTGTATAAAATAAATATTTACTTATATTTTTCTTTTTTTTATATTTAAAGGTACAATCTGTCTTTTTTTTTCGCCGCTAGAGGTCGCATTTTCAAAACAATAACAAAGACAAAGCTAATAACCCAAAGACGAAGCTAACCCTAACCCATGATGACTGAACGACACAACAGCGGCGTGCAAGATATTGTATCATAAATATGTATACATAGATCCGGATATTACAACAGCGGCGTGCGAGATATTGTATCATAGATATGTATACATAGATCCGGATATTACGTAATTGATAAATGACAATGACAAGGGACAAGCCATTATTTAAAACTGGAATTTCTCTGGATTTACAAATCCCTGGGATAATGTAACTACACAACTACATGAAATATTTCACACTGTGCAAGTGGTTTTTGAATATTTTATTACAAAAATTGCATTTTTGCTTGTGTGATATTGCTTAACTATATCGTATGTTATAATATCCTCCTGGGACGGAGGAATAGACTTTTGTCCACTGTAGTGGACATTATACCATACATGTCACAGTTTTAATTTAAGTCTGTCCTGTAAAGAGCACATTCAGGGCTTTTCAGAGAGACCAAATGTTTGGAGGTTTCACTGTCAACAACTTCTCCTTGGTCTTTAAAAATGACTGACATTAATTTAGTGATAAAATTTAGCACTCTTATGGAAATATGATAATATTTTGTAATTATCATTTAAACCTGACTATTTTTCAAATTGTTTGTCATAAATCAACATCTCAGGAAAAGGTTATGGGGTTTCTAATCAAAATTACTTTTTGTAATGAAACAGGGCATTGATGTCATACATGTCCACTGTAGAGACACCAGGGGCCTCATTTATAAAACTGTGCGTAGAATCCTTACTAAAAGTGTACGTGCGCCCGAAAGCCAAAAATGACGTACGCAAAAAAATATTCAGACTTATAAAACCGTGCGTACGCCAGAACCTGCGCAGAATTCACTTTATAAATCCCAGTCAGCGGAAGATTGTGTGCACATGCGTCTCCACCCCGAAATAACCATATATGGAGATTATAACGCCTAGTTTTACTATGCATATCCTCATCTGCATATCATTTGCATATGATTATTCATCCACATGATAACATGTTTAACGGTACAAGACATTAGGAAAATATGAAATACGGATGTGCCGTCACATTACATTAATAAAAATCATTTAGTAGACCATCCTTCCCTTGTTTTTTAAATAAATAAATAAAAATAGTGCAAAATGCATTTCAGAGAAAGTTTTTCTCAATCTTTTCCACTGGCCAAATAGTATTTTAATTGATTTATATTTTTAATGGAAACAGATAGACCTTGTTGTGCATTATTTGCACGAAACCATTTTCTCAGACAATCTGCTATCATGATAAGCAATTATCTATGTAGTTAACACATTAAAACACAGACAGCATGCCAGAGGAAAAATGTTCAAAAGCATCACATCCACAACAAATATGTATATTTATTGAATATAAAAATGTTGTAACTTCTCAGTTCATGTTACTGGCCGTAATTCAGAACACAATTCCAAGAGGATGGCTCTTGGGAATCGAAATCGGCTCATGAGCCAATCATCATCATGAGCAAGGAAATCTTCACGGTCTCTGAAAACACGCTCCCTCCGTAGAGCGTCATTAGCAAGGTCTTCTAACAGCGCTAGAGCATCCATTATGATGATATGTTATATACGCACATACCTTTTTATAGCCCATTCATTACAAAAAAAATAGTATTTGCACCTGGTTAAGAATGCTGATAATGATAATTCAGGTTGATGCAATTTGATTTATTGGGTGATGTAATAGGATAATTTAGAAGTTTTTCATTTTAAATAGTTATTGCTATTTGGGCCAGTTGGTGTCGCCAAAACACATACTCTTCTAAAAGAGTGCGTACACACGGTCAAGAGCATCCTTATGGTGCGCACTTATTTACGCCAAGTTTATTTTTTATAAATCCCGATAGGTGCGTGGAAAAATGCGTACGCAACGTTTATACATCAGGCCCCAGGAATGTTCTTCACCTGATCAGGCATTCTGGGAGACACAAGTGAATAGGAAAATAAATCACAAATTCCTATGAAATATTATATTATTATTATTATATTATGTTGCCAGTTATTACTCCCATTATTACACTTCTTTTTTCATAACATGTTGCCCCAAGAACACATTCATATGCAAATTAGATAGTGTATTGAATGGCATTAACCATTTATGGTCATTTTACCCACATATTGCATGAAGTAAAATGGTATATTAATTAATTCCGTTATATCTTTCATAACATAGTTGAGAATCATTTTTATACAAAGTTTGGTTAAAAAAAAAATCCTGAAACCTAAAAAAAAAGTATTCATGAATGAAAAAAAATCCCAATTGTTTTTCCCAATACGTGTCATTTCATGCCTATTTGTTTTTTAACCCCTGATGCTCTTCTGTCATTTTTGACCGAAAAATTTTGTTTAGTTTTTTTTAGAATTTAATTCATCAGTATGGTACAAAACTTGATAAAGGTTTTGGCACTTGCGCACACACGCGCACACACACACACACACACACACACACATACACACACACACACACACACACACACACACACACACACACACACACACACACACACACACACACACACACACAAAGAAAATCATGGACATATTTTCAACATTCATGGTTGTGTGTTTCATATTATTTTTGCATGCATGTATAGGCCACACACCAGAGCATGTGCGTAAATAAAGCAGAGCGGGGTGGTGACGCTTAAATAGGCCTATAAGTTAAAAAACTCAAACAAAACATACGTTTCATATACGTTTAAATAATATAATGCTATTTTTTTTATTTCATCTGTTGATGATCTATATGAAAAGGGAACCGCATGAGATGAGTAAGGATCATAAGATGCCCAATATATCGAAAACATTTGGAATGGGTCAGACATAATTTTGACCACTTATTAAGTTTTGTTTTGTAGAAAGCCTTTCTTTAAAGTGAATTTCGTTTTGTATAAATTGTATCTTAATTTTAATCAATGTTTCATCAACAAATTCCCTGGATTAATAGGAATAAGAAGCAAATATAGTAGACAAAATAATTAGGACACGGAGGCGCCTGCGCGTGAACTGGAGCGCGTCTCATACCGAAAACTGACAGAAAACACTTTATTAATAAACCATTCAAATGTTTAATGCATAATCCTTACTTTAGACTGTGGAAAGGTGGGAAGGAAGAGGGTGGGAAGCAGGGAGGGGGACAAACACGGCAACCAATAAAACACAGACCTACAACTCACTCATTATACAGATTTAAAAAAATATATATATTTAAAATTGAAGTATTCTGTCTCACATATTGCCATTTATAGTTATTTTTATACAGTTCGTTTTTAGTTTTAGGTCGTTTTAACTGAAACATCCACATATCCTGCATGTTATTTTCTTTTAATAGTATAATATTACAGTTCTGTAAATCACTGAAATGAATATGTTTCCTAAGAATCGTAAGAGAATTGTGATTCTCAGTTAATCCACAATTGTATAGATCTGGTTTATATTTTTTTCCCCTGTTTATTCTGTTATATGCATAGAACAACTGTAACATAAACATACTGAGTTGAAAGTAAATATGACAAATTTATGGTAGTATATTAATGAGCTGTTTGTGTTCTTTAGGATGATGTCAACTGAAAGCACAAATAGTTTCACTCTTATTGGAGAAGCTTCAGATGGAGGAACTATGGAGAACTTAAGTCGCAGGCTGAAAGTATGGACTCGCATACAAAATAGCACTATTCTACACAATTTCATATTTACATTTATGTTCTTGGCAGACACAAAAAAGGTACAATAAAGCAGATTATTTATTAGTTTGAGTTGATTTCACTGATGTATAAAAATGTATGTTCTTGGCAGACACAAAAAAGGTACAATAAAGCAGATGATTTATTAGTTTGAGTTGAGTTCACTGATCTATAAAAATTTGATTGCAGTTGACATTATGAATCAATGATTGGAACAAAAAGCAGTTGAAGGATGACATGCATAATTCAGTTTATTTTTTGACTCCAGTATGAAGTTTTTGTTATTATTTAACCTCTTAAGCCAGGGACACACTTAATGACTGTAAGGCAGATTATGAATGTAATTTGGTACTTTTGACTGATCATACCCAAACGCGTGAAGTCAGAGACAGTTGCGTTCAGTCTGTTTAAAATCTGCTCCAGTCATTGGAAACAGTCTGTGAGTATGTTCAGTTCAGTCTTAAAACGTTTCAGATTGTTGTTAAGTGTGTCCCCCCAATTATGGTTTAAACCCTTAACCAGCACCCCCACAACTTCATGGGGGTAGACTTCCTGAAGTAGAATATATGTGATTTAAAAGGCTTGAATTTACATAAATCACAATGTATACAGTGCAACAGCAGAAACTGAGGGGGAAAAAATAATGTTATGCTTTAATTAGAGCTTTTTTATACGAATTACTACAAGTCAAGGTGCGATACCAAACAAGACCACTTGAACATGCCAAAAGACCACTATACCAGCCACTTTGACCTGACTGCACAATTAGCTACTATACAGATCTATTTAGAATTAATAAACACAAAAATACAAATAAAAAAATGAAAACATTCTAAATTTGTCAATCAGTGAACATTTTCTATCTCAAAGTATCTGTGCTTGTAGTGTATGATGCCTATAAACACCACTGTCTATAAACACCACTGACCCTTTACAAGCTGTAATTATTTTTACCTTGATTACTGTCATAATCCATAAATTATGTAAAAACTGTGTACAGGGGGCCCCGAGGCCAGGAGAGCCTAAAGGATCTTCCCTAAGGGCCCTGGCCCTGGATCAAGATTTGTTACCCACATACTCCAATCAGACTTAACTATGATATAACAGAATTGGATGAAAAATTCATTCTCATACCTCCTACGAGCGATTTAAAGAGTATCTATCCTGTGGTGCACGTTGCCTGTTTAATGTCAAAACATTGTCCATTATTAATCTCTTCCATGAACACCCAATCGAAATAACTCAAGTGTTCAAAGTAAAAAAAAAAAAAAACTAAATTAAGAAAATAAATAATATTTATTAAAAAAAAAGTTCCCTCTAATAGGCGAGAATTATGTATTATGAGAATTATGTATTGTTGTCAGTTACAGGTCTTTAAGGTAAATGTTTGATGTAAATTAAGAAGGGACCCAGGTCTTGCAATGATTTAAGTGAACCAGAAAGTGAGCATCTTAACTTTTCAAGTCTAATACAGTAAAACAATTTCCTGTATCCACCTGGGGATGCATGCTTCCAGGGATAGTTCACCCAAAAATGAAATTACCCCATGATTTACTCATCCTCAAACCATCCTAGGTGTACATGACATTCTTCTGTCAGACGAAAACAATCGGAGTTATATTAAAAAATCTTTGGCGTAAGTCAACTTGCGTAGGCCGTCTGCCAGAAGCTAGTTATTTTAGTCGATAAAGTTTTAAATATGGACATTTTTCTTACACAAACTCATCGCTTCACTTCAGAAGGCCTTTATTAGCCCCCCAGAGCTGTGTGGGTTACTTTTATCATGGATGGATACACTTTTATGGACTTCAAAACAGAAACCGGCCATTCACTGCCATTTTAAAGCTTGGTAGAGCCAGGACATTTTTTAATATTACTCCGATTGTATTCGTCTGAAAGAAGAATGTCATATACACCTAGGATGGCTTGAGGGTGAGTAAATCATGGGGTCATTTGCATTTTTGGGTGAACTATCCCTTTAAGAAGTATTGCCCATTTTGCCAAGATTGTAGTAAAAGCAACGGCTTCATGATCTCGGGCTGCCAAATCAAGCCTAGGGCAGACCACAAAAGAGTCAGGGTCAGATGGAGGGCAGGAAGTGAAAAGTAGAATGGACAAGATGGATGAAAGTCCGTACTGTACTGGTTTAGAAAGATATAAACAGAAAATCACAACATATGTTGGACATGATCCTTATAGTATGAAGAGGAGCAATTTTTCTACTGAAATACTTGCATGCCATTGAGGCGGTAGATAAAGAGATTGTAAAGCTGACTTCACACCGTGTTGAGTTGGGTCTGGTTTGTTAATATCACGCTGCCTTTATGCTTGTGAGTTTAGGGCAGTATTTGATTTTCTGTCATGATTGTGAAAAATGTCGCCATTGTAGGTCATTCATGCTGCATCGAGAATTGCCATAGGAACTCACATCATCGTTCAGTGAGAGAACTGGACAGTTTATACGCTTTTTCACCTTTTCTACATGTAAAACACTATGGGAAGCAGGTTGGGGAGGTGACGGGAAGACGGCGGATAGCAAATCTAGTAATAATGTCACTGATTAAACCCACTGCCTATCACTCAATAAAACAATCACATTGCTAAGTGTTTTTGAAGGTTTTGTATTTTGTTTGGTTCAATAATTAACATTACATTTGCGAGTATGACTCTCTGCTTGTGAATTAGCAGAACTTGCACGCAGCCACTTCAAAACTGTTCACAAGCTTCTATGGATTTGATTTTGATTGTCATTTGTTAAAATAAATACATAAAATACAATCTGTCCGCTGAATGTGACCCTCTCCGATTCTCCTCCGTGGCCATATGGGAAAGTGAATATTTACAATGACAACAATAAAAAAAACCTTTCCGAAAAAGAAATGGATCAACTTCTATCAGCTTGTTGAACACATTTTTATTTGGACATTTCTATGATGGCTGAAGCAGCAGCGAGTGCCCAGCGTGTGACACTTTTCACAGTAACCAGATCAACATGTGAACGGAATTCTACAAAACTTCAGTGGAAACATCAAATGATCATGAAATGCGCTAAAATAGCTTCTCTTCCCTGAAAACGATACCATGAAGAATGTGAATATATTTAACCAAATCAAAAACAAAACAAAAGGTAAGCAGGTATCCGTATTAATTTCAGTATCAGCAGACGCAAAATGCCACTAAAGGCGACAACTTTAAAAGTAAAAAAAACGATAAAAGCTCCTTGTGGTTTCTCGGTTGGATAGATTTGAGCAACAATAAACAACGCAAAACATAGGAAAAACTTTCACAAACTCAAAATGCCTATGTAGAAAATCGCTTCCTACCCTTCATCTGCATTTCGCGCCACAGCAAAAGGCAGTGACATGATGTCATGTGCAAACAAGCTATATTAGGAATACTTTTAGCAATGTTGCCATGTGTCATGAGTAAGCAATTGAGTATTTTAACTCTGTGTGTAGAGATTAAACGTGAGCATTTCGCTTATAATAAACCCAAATTATCTGCACAGGGCGCGTTTTTGACATGACGCACCACAACTGTTTATAGCTGAGGAAACATAAACTGGTACATTTGTCTTTATGAACGGTACATGATGCTGTATGGAAATGATGCATGCTTTGTAACGTTTAGCATCGCAATGACCCGTTCACTTTGACGTGTTGACCAGTTTAGTTTTTTTTTTGTGTGTTTTTTTTTGTTTGTTTTTTTCTCCCACCTCCACCCCCCCCCTCTTCGGAGGACAACTTTATTTATTTTATTTTAGTAAACTGTAATATCTGAATGAGTTTGAAAACAGAATGAGTTTGAGTCTTGAAGTGGTATTTTAGTGAGTTGCACCAAACGTTCGGAACCAAGACGGGAAAGAGACCTGTACCTTGACTGCTCTGGCTTAGAAATGACCTAGAATCGGGATTGCCTAGACATAGACTGTTAACAGGCTTGTGCTAACTGTAGACCACGTGGATAGTCCACAGACTGATAACGGGATTGTGCTGACTGCAGACTGCTGGGCTGGTCCACAGGCTGGTTACGGACTTGTGTTAGTTGCAGATTGATAGGCCGGGACACAGACTGGTAACGAGTTTGTGTTGACTGCAGGCCACTGGGCTGGTCCACAGACTGGTAACGGGAATGTGCTGACTGCAGACTGCTGGGCTGGGACACAGACTGAGAGCTGGTTTATGCTGACTGCAGGCCACTAGGGTGGCCCCCAGACTAGTAACAAGCTTATACTAAATGCAAACCACTGAGGTCTGATCCACAAACTGTGAGCTGGCTTAAACTGGTTGTTGAATGCCAGACTGGTCCACAGCTTGTAAGCTGGCTTGGGCTAGTTGTTGGATGCTAGACTGGACCACAGATTATGAGCTGACTTGAGCTGGTTGTTGGATACTAGACTGGTCTACCAGTTGTGAGCTAGCATGGGCTGGTTGTTAAATGCCAGACTGGTCCACAGACCGTGAACTGACTTGGGCTGGTTGTTGGATGCCAGACTAGTCCACAGCTTGTGAACTGACTTGGGCTGGTTGTTGAATGCCAGACTGGTCCACAGATCGTAAGCTGACTTGGGCTGGTTGTTAGATGCCAAACTGGTCCACAAATTGTGAGCTCGCTTGGGTTGGTTGTTGGATGCCGGATTGGTCCACAGATTGTAAGCTGACTTGGACTAGTTGTTGGATGCCAGACTGATCCACATACTGTGAGCTGGCTTGAGCTGGTTGTTGAATGCCAAACTGGTCCACAGGTTGCGAGCTGGCTTGGGCTGGTTGTTGGGTGCCAGACTGATCCGCAAGCTGTGAGCTGACTTTGGCTGGCTGTTGGATGCCAGGCTGGTCCACAGATTGTGAGCTGATTTGGGCTGGTTGTTGGATGCCAGACTGGTCCACAGACTGTGAGCTGACTTGGGCTGGTTATTGGATACCAGACTGGTCTACAGGTTATGAGCTGACTTGGGCTGGTTGTT